TTTAGGGTTAGGGTTTAGGGTTTAGGGTTTAGGGTTTGGGGTTTGGGGTTTGGGGTTTGGGGTTTAGGGTTTAGGGTTTAGGGCTTAGGGTTTAGGGTTTAGGGTTTAGGGTTTAGGGTTTAGGGAACTAGCCAACCCTTCCACTGCGAACCTAGCAGCTCAAAAGCGTTCGTAGGCCCAACTTGTTCTGCACATGCCCAGTTCAGGGGGATGATACGTGTATGCACGAACACCCGACCCTAAACACTAAACCCCAAACCCCAAACCCTAAACCCTAAACCCTAAACCCTAAACCCTAAACCCTAAACCCTAGACTCTCTCCCTGAGCCCAAAGTCCCTCAACCCTAAACCCTAGACTCTCTCCCTGAGCCCAAAGTCCCTCAACCCCAAGGCCCCTAAACCTCTTAACCCCACGCCCCCTAAACTCCTCGTTTCCTAGACCCCAACCCCCTGTGCACCCCCCCTGACTCCCTAAACCCTAAAAGCCCAAAACACCCTAAACCCTAAACTCCTGGTTCCCTAGACCCCAAATTTTTGGTGCACGCCCTGACTCCCCCAAGACTTCTACGGATATGATGGAAATCGGCTCTTGGGCGCGCACATGTTTCCGCAGATCCTGGCCAGCATCCGAAGCCCTATGTAAGCCCCAAACCCTAAACACTAAACCCCAAACCCTAAACCCCAAAACCCAAACCCCAAACCCTAAACCCCAAACCCCAAACCCTAAACCCCAAACCCAGACCCCGAAGCTTTGGAGCCTAGTGTGTAGGGCCTGGGGCCTGGGGTGCATACAGGGTGCTTGTATGTTGTGTTCGTGGTTTTTTCTGGGAGCTTCGTTGGCGCGCATCTTAGAGTTCTGTTATCAGGAGCCCGACGAAAAAAAGCACCAGAACCCAACAAGAAACCCTACTTCGCACAGCCCGGCGGAGTGTTAAGTCGGCGGGAGGGGGGGGGGGGGACCCTAAACCCTAAACCCGCAGAAAAGGGTGTTCTACAGGGCGACCAAGCATTGATGAAACCCAACTCAAACTCGTGTGGTCCTGGTTTGGGAGAAACCCTTAACCCGAAAATTCGCTGGAAGCCTAAACCCTAAACCCTAAACCCTAAACCCTAAACCCTAAACCCTAAACCCTAAACCCTAAACCCTAAACCCTAAACCCTAAACCCTAAACCCTAAACCCCGCCGAATTTGGGCTTTCTTAACGGCTTAAAGGGCCTCCGCCTGGAAAGGGTCCCGGTTCAGGGCTTGGGTCCAGGATTTTAAGTTCGACATCCAAAAACCCCGAACCCCAAACCATAGAACTCCAAACCCTAAACCCTAAACCCTAAACCCCAAACCCCAAACCCTAAAACCCTAAGACCCTTAAAACCCAAACACAAGACCGTGCCGTACACAGGACGCGTCTTTACTCTTCAACGCTCGCTCGGGGTTTGGGTCGTTTCTAGCTGCCAGGTGCGATGGTGTAGGATGAAACTCTAAGCATCATCCACGCCAAAACTTCAACCACAACGGCTTTGATGGTCCTGGGTCAGTACATTGCTGAGTCTGAGTCTTATGCACAACTCCCCCAACACTGACCACGAAGGGTAGGAAGGGGCTTGCACATGTGGACATGGGTAGAAGAGACAAAAACTTGTACCCAAAATCCCACGCCCCTGCCATGGACGAAACCCGAAACCCGAAACCCGAAACCCGAAACCCCAAACCCCGAAACCTCAAACCCTAAACCCTAAACCCTAAACCCTAAACTCTAAACCCTAAACCCTAAACCCTAAACCCTAAACCCTAAACCCTACTGTAACCCTAAACCCTAAACGGGAGCTTGGTACATTGCGGCTCGGGGCTTTCTTCGGCCGGCCTCTTTCGCGCGGGCGCTGAAGCTCACCAGATAGCGGGGCCGCAAGAAGCCATCCATTGGGGTTTTGGGGGGGCTCAATGAGCCCTAGTGGGGTTTAGGGTTTAGGGTTTAGGGTTTAGGGTTTAGGGCTTAGGGTTTAGGGTTTAGGGTTTAGGGAAAAGGATGCATTGCTTTGGGTTTAGGGGATTTAGGGGCTGAGGAGTTGGGGTTGAAGGGTTTTCGGGCTTGGGGCTTTAAGGGTTTAAGGTGTTTCTTTCGTGTTTTTTTCGGGTTTTGGGTTTGATGTTTGGGGTTAGGAGGCCTTCATGTTCGCATTCAAGGGACATACTCTGGCTGTTATGGACCCATAACCTCGTTGGGACAATATACGTATACATATATATATATATGTATGTATGTATGTATGTATATATATATAAGGGCTTCCAAGATTAGGGGTGTCTGCATTATAAGGGACTCCTACCATTTCGGGGTCTGTCTATATTTAGGGCCCCACATTGTCGCAGGCCTGTAAAGGGCACTAAAGTAGGACCAGGAGACCCCATGAACCTTCAAGCACGTGCGTGTCTAGAAGCCTATGTCTTCGAACCAGGTTAGCCTAACCCTAAGCCCTATACCCTGAACCCTAAACCCTAAACCCTGAACCCTAAACCCTAAACCCTAACTGCCCCCCCCCCCCCCAACCCCAAAATCAGGCACAAGCAGACCTGGCAGGGCCTCATTTAAACCACTGTTTGCTTTAGAGCCCCACAAAAAGTTCCCATTAAGGAAGAACATTACCCTTATGAGGAAGACCATTTTGGTAGTTTTCAGGTCGTTCTTAAGCAAATTAGTTAAGGCATAGAGGGTTTCTTAGGTGGCCAGAAAGGCTAGAGACCAGGGAACCCAAAGTACCAACAGAAACCCCAAACCCCACAAAGTACAGAATAACCCTAAGTGACCCCTAAAGTTTAGGGTTTTGGGTTTCGGGCCGAAACCCGAACAGCCAACGCTTAGGGTCCATGTACCTACTTCTGCATATCCTGATGCTCTCCTTTTTCGGCGGCAGTAAGTTCATTTTTGGTCACCTGCTGACAGGTATCTACGCACCCACCTCAAAAGAATTAGCAGCACCGTCTAGGGTCATCTGCGACTCATACCCAGCAAGGATAATAAGGCAAAGAGGCAACCGTAGGTTGCCCAGTAGCCCAGGCATGAGACGAATGCAACTGTTCAGAGTAAACCCTAAACCCTAAATCCTAAACCCCTAAGCCCTAAACCCTAAGTCTCTCTTGCAGGAACCCTACGGGAACTGCTGGTAGAGGTGAATTCCCTTGTTTAGGGTCGATAATCCTAATCCCAGAACTCGAGGAACACAGGAATCGCACAAGTAGCACCAGGGCGAAGTCAGTTATAATTAGGGTTTAGGGTTTAGTGCTTAGGGTTTAGGGTTAGGGTTTGGGGGCTTTAGGGTCCAGGGTTCAGTTTAGGGCTCAGGGTTGAGGCTCACTCCCCGCGTTGAAGCCAGGCGCTTGCTTCGCCTGGGCAACATGGGATCCCTGCCCTTTCCGGTGAGTCCTGTTAGGGTTTACGGTTTAGGCTTAGGGTTTAGGGTTTAGGGTTTAGGGTTTAGGGTTTTGGGTTTAGGGCTGAGCCCAACACCAACAGCCCTTAGAAAGCGAGCTCTCATTATTAAGTAGAAGCTCCGAAGCCCCAAGCCCTGAACCACAAACCCTTACCTCCCCCCAAAAAAAACAAAAAAGTCAAACAACCCAAAAGCCCACAAAAAAAAATAAAATAAAATATTAATAATAATAATAATAACAAAATAAAATAATAATGAAGGGTGGCGAGATCTTAGTTCAGGCGCATGAGTGAAAGCCACCGACCAGGGGGTGCTGAGAGTGCTTGGGGTGTTTAGTGCCTAGGGCTTAAGGGTTTGGGGTCGAGGGTTTGGGGTTTAGGAGTTTAGGACTATTGGGTACTCATAGCTGGGGTTCGAGATAGGGTAGATGCAGGTAGGAATGGTTGTAATCCGATTCAAGGTACTTCTCGAACCTCATATAAAACTATACCCATGATCCCTAACCCTAAACCCTAAACTCTAAACCCTAAACCCTAAACCCTGAACCCTGAACCCTAAACCCTAAACCCTAACCCTAAACCCCAAACCCCCCTCGGCGACCGCCTTTTTCTTGCCAAGCACGTGGCAAACAGCGTCGGGTCAGCTGCCGGATTCAGCGCTGACAACGGAGCTGCGACTTGTCGTCAGGGTTTAGGGTTTAGGGTTTAGGGTTTAGGGTTTAGGGTTTAGGGTTTAGGGTTTAGGGTTTAGGGTTTAGGGTTTAGGGTTTAGGGTTTAGGGTTTAGGGTTTAGGGTTTAGGGTTTAGGGTTTAGGACATGCGAAAATGCAGCCTCTGTCAGCAAGACCGTGCAGGAGGGAACACCTCGTGTCCCTAAAGTGGGACCACACGCAGTGAGCCCTCATTAGCCTGGACGTCACTAGCAACGCAGCACCTTCGAAATCCCGAATCCTCTTCGCTGAAGCAGGCTTCGAGGCCCTAGGGTTTAGGGTTTAAGGTTAGGGTCTAGGGTAATATAATATTTATATGTATATATATATATATATAAATATAGGTCTCCGTGCAAATGCAAAGGCAGCGTTCTCGCACGGACTTTGCGCCGTTGCGCCCAGACCCGAGTCAAGGGGACATCGATATGCCCTTTAAATGAAAAGGGGTGGGAGTGGGTTTAGGGTTCAGGGCGGAGAAGTAACAAAAGCATGTTAGTCGTACGTGTGTTACACCGAGCTATATTCCGGGGTCATTCCGTGCCCTACTAGGGGCGTGCGTACTTCGAAATATAGAAAATGGTCTGTCAAGGCGATGGCACGGGCCTTTTGCTCTTAAAAGGTGTTGAACAAATGACAATATTGGCAAGTACTTGGGCTCTTGTATCGATCCGAAGCAGTGTGCGTGCTTCGATACAAACATGCTGCGGCTTCGTGTGCTTCGTGTGCATGGCGGCTCAGAATGTCGGGATTCCGGGTCACCTGAGCCTAAACCCTAAACCCTAAACCCTAAACCCTAAACCCTAAACCCTAAACCCTAAACCCTAAACCCTAAACCCTAAACCCTAAACCAACTCTAGAAGCAAGCCAGTCAGAAGCTGAAGAAATCATCCTCGAGCAGCTCGCCCTCGTCCTTAGCTTGGCCTGGTCCAGCCTTGGCTTGATCTTTAGAGCTTTACAGGGGGGCAGGGTTTAGGGTTTAGGGTTTAGGGTTTAGGGTTTAGGGTCTAGGGTCTAGGGTCTAGGGTCTAGGGTTTAGGGTTTAGGGTCTAGGGTCTAGGGTCTAGGGTCTAGGGTCTAGGGTTTAGGGTTTAGGGTTTAGGGTTTAGGGTTTAGGGTTTAGGGTTTAGGGTTTAGGGTTTAGGGTCTAGGGTTTAGGGTTTAGGGTTTAGGGTTTAGGGTTTAGGGATTTTTTTTTTTAACTGGAATCACCTTGGTCGGGCGGAGCGTTCTCGCTCTCCAGTGGTGAAACAGGGGCATGAGGTTGGCACGAGCACGGCCACGGCCCCCCTCCCCCCCAACAACACGACTCCCACATACATCGAAAACACTCGGGGAACACTTGGGAACCTGGGGCCACGAGGTCAGCACAGACGGCTCACCCCTCCCAGACGGCAGCGGATTCCTGGGGCCACGAAGTCAGCATAGGCTCACCCCCTCCCAGACGGCAGCTAGAAGATGTTATAACTCGGAACAGTCGCACCTATAAGTCCATGACGCTCAGCATCACATATTTGGAGAATTGAAAATCTGTACAGCGGCTCAGTCTGACTCAAGGGAGGAGCGTCACATCGTTCTCATTCACATCGGTGAGCGAGGAAGGGGCTACGACCCTTGCACTGACGAGGAGGAAGGGGCTACGACCCATGCACTGATACGTGTCCGACCCTTCACGTCACGTTTGTCGGTCACCCCCTCAATGCCCAGCTCACTGTCCGAAGCTTTCTCCGTGGACGACGGCCCGTCCACCTCCACCATATCAACCACCACCATGCCAGGAAGAAAACCTCCACAGCGTTCCTGCCACAATCTCGGACTGGTATTTGCAGGCCTCCACCACCCAGCAAGCAGGCAGTTGAGGAAGTGCTCCACCCCCTCCACATTTCCTCCCTCCTCCATGCCCACAATCCGCCAGGCAGATCTCACTCCCGGTGTCCTTGCCCAATATCACGTCCACTCCCAGGCCCTCGGCAGTCTCCCAGCGTACACGTACACCCTCACCTCGTCGTCGCCGTCCAGCGTACACGTAGCACGTCTCAACCTCGTCCGCGTAGGCCGCCCAAACCAATGAGATAGCTGGGCCCAATCTCCCCAAGGAACACCAAATAGCGGCAGCGGTTCACGAGGCGCAGCAAACTCACCGAAGACGGGGAAGACAACCTCCACGAAAAGTCGGCACCAAGTCACGAGCGTCCAGTTCACGAAGCCCCCCAGGTAGAAAGAGGACGAAAGGAAACACCAAGCACACCCCTCCTTTAAATCCGCCAGGCAGATCTCACTCCCGGTGTCCTTGCCCAATATCACGTCCACTCCCAGGCCCTCGGCAGTCTCCCAGCGTACACGTACACGTACACCCTCACCTCGTCGTCACCGTCCAGCGTACACGTAGCTCGTCTCAACCTCGTCCGCGTAGGCCGCCCAGACCAATGAGATAGCTGGGCCCAATCTCCCCAAGGAACACCAAATAGCGGCAGCGGTTCACGAGGTGCAGCAAACTCACCGAAGACGGGGAAGACAACCTCCACGAAAAGTCGGCACCAAGTCACGAACGTCCAGTTCACGAAGCCCCCCAGGTAGAAAGAGGACGAAAGGAAACACCAAGCACACCCCTCCTTTAAGCCAAATCCTTGAGCCGTAGCCATTTGGGTTTAGGGTTTAGGGTTTAGGGTCTAGGGTTTAGGGTCTAGGGTTTAGGGTTTAGGGTTTAGGGTTTAGGGTTTAGGGTTTAGGGTTTAGGGTTTAGGGTTTAGGGTTTAGGGTTTAGGGCAGGGTTTAGGGTGCCCTCTACTATACTTGGATGACCCTTGAAAGCCTCTAGAAAATATTCCTACACACCAGTCTCTTGAACCCAAAAATGGAAGATCCAAAATACGCAGCTCAAATGTTTGGCGGGCAAGGTCATGTTTTTAGTGGCAAGGTCGCCCCCCCCTCAGCACCCCCCCCCCCCCCCAATGCCCCCCAATCCACCCCCTCACCCCCCCCGCTCTCACCTCTGCCCCCCCCCCACCCCCACCACCCCCACCACCCTCCCCGGATGGAGGGTGGGGTGTGCCTTAAGGCTGAGGGTTAAGGGCCCGAGGGTTTATGGATTGAATGAACTTTGTATGTTCTTCATGTTATGGGATTCTTTGGGCGGGTGACTAGAAAAAGCTCGAACATGAGATGCCGAACCTAAACCCTAAACCCGACACCAACACCCCAAACCCCAAACCCTAAACCCCAAACCTTAAACCCTAAACCCCAAACCCTAAACCCCAAACCCTAAATCCCACGCCGGGAGGCCGCCAAAGGCGATTTGGGAGAAGCGGGGGATCGGGGAGTTTGCACAGAACGCATGGAGGTGGTCCGCGGCCTGGTCACCCCTAAGGTTTAGGGTTTAGGGTTTAGGGTTTAGGGTTTAGGGTTTAGGGTGTAGGGTTTAGGGTTTGGGGTTTAGGGTTTAGGCTCAATATTAACATGATGGGTTCCAAGCATGGGCTGTGGGTTTTTCTTGCCTTTTTGTTCTCTCTCTTGGTCTGATTTTTGTTTGAGATTGGGGGTTCAGGTTTGGGGGGGGGGGGGGGGGGCGGTTTTAGGGTTTGGAGTTTAGGGGCTTGTGGCTTTTTGTTGGTCTTTGTGGTCTTGGTGGTTCAGGGGGTCTAGGGTTTAAGAGTTTTGGGGTTCTGGGGCTTCCGTGCTTCGGGGGTTTACGGGGTTAGGGCTTAGGATTTGGGATCATGGGGCTCGCGATGCATTGGGGGGGTTTAGGGTTTAGGGTTTAGGGTTTAGGGCTAGGGTTTAGGGTCTCATGTTGGCAACAAAATCTCGGCCGCAACCTAAGGAACTGACCCAGATTTTGGGAGGACCTAGACAGCAGAGCCCTCAATTTCGGTACCTCAATACTACTATCGTTACTATAGGGTACTTCAAAAGGGTTTAGGGTTGAGGGTTTAGGGCCTTAGGGCCTTAGGGTTGGAACCCTATAAGGGAGCTACTTTCTAGATTCTCCCAGGGGGGCTGTTTTGACGTCGAAGTGAGATATGAGATCGGAAGCTATCACCGCCATGTTTTTTGCTTGGTTGTATTTTCGTGTAGGTTCAGGACTCCTTCCAGGGTTTCGGATGCTTGCACTAGTAGGTTCCCCCAGCATAACTCTCAAACGATGTGACCGTTCGCGTTGGTGACCCTGTTTGCAAATGCCCTAATAGAATGTAGGGGCCACATTAGGCAACTCTTCAGGGGTACGTGGTACAGCCTTCGGCTCTTACGGGAACGAGTTCCAACCCTGCCTATGATGCCTTAAGCTTAAAAAATCATTAGGGGCTTGGGATTTAAGGTTTAGGGCTGAGGCATGTTCCTAACCCTAAACTCTACACCCTAAACCCTAAACCCTGAACCGTAAACCCTAAACCCCTACTCAAGGGATTCACGCGTTTACCCTAAACCCTACACCCTAAACCCTAAACCCTAAACCCTAAACCCTAAACCGACGGCCTTGAGCTCTTGGCTTGTAAGCGAAGTGCAATCTGCTTCACGCGCAGCTCCAAATCCTCCAGCTGCAGGCCATCCCACCCAGCACACCACGAGTTTAGGGTTTAGGGTTTAGGGTTTGGGGTTTAGGGTTTAGGGTTTCGGGTTTAGGGTTTAGGATTTAGGGTTTAGGGTTTAGGGTTTGGGGTTTGGGGTTTGGGGTTTGGGGTTTGGGGTTTAGGGTTGAGGGTTTAGGAGATCTGGTTCAAGCTTATACGCGACCACTCCTCCTAAGCCCTACGTGACATAGAACCCTGCGGCCCTCAGTTACGGCCCGGCGGGGGTCGTCGTAGCTTTAGGGTCTCCAGGTCAAACGCACATGTACAGTGCGGGTTAGGTTTGGGCCTTTAGGTTCTGCCGGAAAAATGCCCTGGCGATAATTGCCAGGGCCCCAAGTACGGATACAAGTGCTATTACTATGAGTAAATTTGTAATACAAGTCGTTACACTACTCCTAGTTTAGTGAGGGGGACTAGAAGGGTTGTAGTCTTTAGGGCGCTCTGCAGTTGCGAATACCCAATACTCGTCAAACGGATATGCTGCAGCCCCTCCATGCACAACTCAAATCACGTCAGGAACGCATGCAAGGGGGTGTCCTCCTGGGTGCTGGATTGCGGTGCAAAAACAATGGCAATCTCCTGGAACACAAGACCGATCATTGAGCAATAGATGTTGTGCTCGTGGTCGGTGAGGGGCGTCTCTACGCTGGAAGCTGCATCTTCGTACCTCGATTGGGTTGTGGATGGACTGGATACTCACTCTAGGTTCCAGAGAGGCCTAGCACCTAAACCCTAAACCCTAAACCCTAAACCCTAAACCCTACACCCTACACCCTAAACCCTAAACCCTAAACCCTAAACCCTATGCTGAAGCGGAAACGGTGCCCTGTTTGCGACCTAGCTCGGATTATATGGCCCCCTAGCTCTAAGGAAAGCCAAAGGGTGGTTATTGGCGTGATAGTACGTATATTCAGCACTTCAGAACATTCAATCGTCCACCCTGAACACTAAACTCTAAACCCTAAACTCTAAACCTTAAACCCTAAACCCTAACCCTTAGATCGAGCCGGGGAACGGCGCCAGTGGCACCACGAACTCGGACCCTGCAATTGGGAGGATGACGGGTGCCAAGTCGTGGTACAAGTCAATGAGCCTTGTGGTAGCCCAGTAAGGGTTTAGGGTTTAGGGTTTAGGGTTTAGGGTTTAGGGTTTAGGGTTTAGGGTTTAGGGTTCAGGGTTCAGGGTTCAGGGTAATGAGGGTCGTTTTTGGGGTTGGTTATCTTACAAGGCTTCCTAGATTCTGCTCTAGGACCTAGAACCCCCCCCCCCCCAAAAAAAAAAAAAAAAGGCAGCCGGGAACCGCAGAGGGCTACCAAGGAGCCAGTAAGCAAGATCGCTGGACTTGAAGCAGCCGGAAGAGCAAACCAGAAGCACCTGCCACTGCCTCCCCGAGTTCTCTGGCATGCTCTCTTTTCCTAGGTCCCAAGGAGCAAGGACTCAAAAGGGTTTAGGGTTTAGGGTTTAGGGTTTTTTTTTGGGTTTAGGGTTTAGGGTTTAGGACGACGATGGGGCTTCTAGGGAATTGAAGCCGAGAAAGGGCCAAGAAAGGCCGCTGCGGCACGATTTCGAAACACGACGAAACAACAAAGGCCCCTAAAGCCCTAAGCCATGAGGACAGAAAAACTCTGAACCCTAAATCCTAAACCCTAAACCCTAAACCCTAACAAAGACAAAGGCTCCCTGCAGCACGATTGGAAGAACATCGCCCTTCAGCAGGGCGACGAGAAGTTCGACAAGGATGTAGGACGTGGCCACTGCTTCCTGGTTGCCTCAAAGCCCTAAACCCTAAACCCTGAACCCTAAACCCTAAACCCTTTATCTAGGCTATGCAGGCTGTAGGGGCTTAGGGGTTCAGAGTCTGGGGATTAGTGTGGGGATTAGGGCTCTTTTGGGGTGACCTGGGCCCATTTAATTAAGGGGTGTACGGGTTAGGGCTTAGGGCTTAGGGCTTAGGGCTTAGGGCTTAGGGCTTAGGGCTTAGGGCTTAGGGTTGAGGGCTTAGGGCTTAGGGTTTAGGGTTTAGGGTTTAGGGATTCCGGCTGTGGGTAGATGGACCAATGGGCTTCCTTTCGGGTTTCGGGTTTAGGGCTTAGGCGAAAGCTTCGGAGTCCTACAACAAGGCAGTAAACCGCAACTTGTGTACCCAAAGGTGTTAGGGGTTTGGGGTTCGGGGGAGGGAAGGCCAGATAGATGGTTTGGGGTTTAGGGTTTAGGGTTTAGGATGTAGGGTCTAGGGTTTAGGGTGTAGGGTTTAGGTTGAAAACTCATGAAAAGAAGGGAACTACGGGCACTACTGGGCATCCTGGGCAAAGTTGAAATTCAGCTCTTGGCTATGATGGCCCTTAAAACCCTTTGAACAACAATCCAGTACATGATCCTCTTCAACCCAATAAGCGAACATGTAAAATGTCCCCAGGGACTGAATCCTAAACCCTAAATCCTAAACTAACATATGAAATGCCCCCAGGCTTACCTAGTTGGCTGAGTTGCGGGGGTCTGCCAGGATGAGGCAATTGGCCTGCATGGGTGAAGTCTCCTCAGGTGTCCAGGGTTTAGGGTTTAGGGCTTTAGGGTTTAGGGCGTGGGGTTTCGGGTTTTAGGGTTTAGGGTTTAGGGTTTTAGGGTTTTAGGGTTTAGGGTTTAGGGTTTAGGGTTTAGGGTGTGGGGTTTGGCGTTGAGGCTTTAGGGGTTACCTTGGACACTTAAGGTTGTACCCTCGGGTTGTATGAGTGCATACTGGGAGTGTATGAACAGGCCTCTTTAGGGGTCCATCCTCAAAGGGGTCCGAGTACAAGGAGGGGCCCCTTAGCTATAAGTGGAGCTATAAGAGCCATGAATTGGGTTATAAGGATCCCAAATTAGGTGATAAGTCCCCTGGCCCTAAACCCTAAACCCTAAACCCTAAACCCTATAAACCCTCTTAATTAGGTTATAAGTCCCTTGACTACAGTTAGTATAATAAAGGGGACCCCTCCTTGTCTGACTCACTTGAGACAAAGCGACCTTTTGGCTTGGCTTGGGTCTTCGCCTACAAACGAACTGAAGCCTGCATTCTTGTAAGGCTTTCATATACGGAAAGGTCAACAAGTACATCTAAGCCTAAACCACAAACCCTAAAGCCTAAACCCTAAAGCCTAAACCCTAAGCCCTAAACCCTAGGATTTAGGGTTCGGGGCTTAGGGGCCACTGAGGCTCCTTGGGATTCTTGCTCCGCTCGCGCGAGGTGGACACCTTGGACTGCTTTAGGCTTGGTGCTTGGGATGTAGGGTTTTGGGTTAGGGCTTAGGGCTTAGAAACCCTAAACCCTAAACCCTAAACCCTAAACCCTAAACCCTAGAAGCTTTCTAAGTTGATGAGGTGGACTCTTGGCATCATCCCGGTCAAGCTGTCGCAAATGCGACTGATGGACTCAGCGTCCAACAAATCTGGGACAGAAATCCTTAGTGGCTGAGTTCATATGTTTAGGGTTTAGGGTTGAAGCCCTTTTAAAACAAAGTGTCCACTTTCAGTTCTAATAGGAGGTTGTAGTATCCCCAAAACAGTGTAAAGTGTACTCTTCAGCTACTAAGAGTCGCGTCCGCGGCTCTGAGCCACGTCATGGCGTCCGCCACGTCATTCAGAGATATGCCGTGGGCCGTCAGCACCTCAACGCCGGGAATCGCAACGGTCCTTGGTTACCGGAGCTTAGGGTTTAGGGTTTAGGGTTTAGGGGTTAGGGTACAGGGTACGGGGCTTAGGACTTAATGTTGGAGGAGTATAGGCTTTGGGGCTTTGCGCTTGTGGAGGGCTTGAGTCTTCAACCCAGAACTCACAAACATGCGGAAAAAAGTGCGCCTACTGGGCATCCGAGGAACAAGTTCTTGCAGAAGAGCTCGTTGGGATAGATGAATGTGGGCCACTTCAGCACGAGCGTGTGGATCTTGTGTAATCTTGCAGAAACAATCTCGCCAATGCACCACTTGCGGGCCAAGATCCCCGCGCTCGCCAGCACCACAACGGTCCTTGGGCTGCAGCCCTGAGGGTCCATTTGCAAGGGTTTAGGGTTTAGGGTTTAGGGTTTAGGGTTTAGGGTTTAGGGTTTAGGGTTTAGGGTTCCATCATGATACTACAACTGGACCCTCTGGGAAGTGTTCCGGGCCACTAAATGATTCTGGAATCCTGTACTATATCACTATATCCACTCTCCGACAACTTGCCGGACATCAAATCTCAATGCGAAATTGTTCTTGCCCCTAAACCCTAAACCCTAAACCCTAAACCCTAAACCCTAAACCCTAAACCTTCCACTCGCAAGGGTCTCTGACGCCCTCACGAAGCTGAAAAGCTCGGTCAGATCACGGAGGTTGTCCTTACTGCTCCTCATTCCGAAGGAAGAAAACGAAGGTTTAGGGTTTAGGGTTTAGGGTTTAGGGTCTAGGGTTTAGGGTTTAGGGTTTAGGGTTTAGGGTTTAGGGTTTGGGGTTTGGGGCTTCGGGCTTCGGGCTTCGGGTTGTTACAGGTTGTTCCTGTACAGGAAAGGAAACGCAAAAAACATACAGCTCCCAAATATCGGCTAGAGGTAAGTGTCCGTGTCCAGGAAGGTGGTGAAGTGCACACTTCGCTTCCTTACTTCACCAATGGCCAAAGGGGAAAAATGTTAAACTTGAATATCCCTGCAAAATAAGGAAACCCAAATCGCTTCCTTACTTCACCAATATCCGAAGGGGAACATGTTAAACTTGAATATCCCTACTACATAAGGAAACCCCAAAAGTCAAAAGTTCAACTGTTGGCTAAGGAGGGACCCATAAGGGACCTTAGGGGGGTTATTTGGGGGTTATTTAGGGGCTACTTAGGCATATAGGGACTATATAGTAAGGAGATATATGCATATATATATATATATACTAGACCCGGGAGTAACCTAGGAATAAACAGGGTACCCTTTTGGGTTTTAAGGGCACGATAAGGGAACCCCAACCCTACAAAAAGGATAAAAGGGCCAACTCCCGGTCCTAGTATATGTGTGTGTGTATAAAAAAATATATATAGGGGTTATGTACCCCTCAGGATATTTGGGAGTTATGTAGGGGCTACGTAGGTATATAGGGACTATATAGGGTATGTATGTATATATACACAGGGGTTGTGCCCTAAACCCTAAACCCTAAACCCTAAACCCTAAACCCTAAACCCTAAACCCTAAACCCTAAACCCTAAACCCTAAACCCTAAACCCTAAACGTGTGTGTATACACATATATATATATATATATATAGGGGTTATGTACCTCTCAAGCTTCTGAAGGTGGATCTTGAGAAGCCTCGCGAAGGCACCTGCGGGATGGAGTGCAGGCCTCGAAACACCCTAAACCCTAAACCCTAAACCCTAAACCCTAAACCCTAAACCCTAAACCCTAAACCCTAAACCCTAAACCCTAAACCCTAAACCCTAAACCCCGACAACCCCACAGCTTCCATACACGCCAACACCCATGAATCCCTGAACCCTGAAACCCCAAACCCTACGCCCCAAATAGCCCGGCCTCCTTGGAGGTTCAGGGTTTGGGGTTTGGGGTTTAGGGCTACTTGGAGGTGCAGGGCACTTCTAACCCAACAATGACTTTACTTATAACCCACTTATAAAGCCGCTTAACTACCCGAATATGTTTATCAGGGGTTCTCAATGCAGCTATAGCTGGGTTAAAGAAGTACCCTGAACCTCCAAGTAGGGCCAGAAAAGCTGCAGATTTTTGGGCTTAGGGATGGGTTTAGGGTTTAGGGTTTAGGATTTAGTGTTTAGGGTTTAGGGTTTAGGGTTTAGGGTTTAGGGTTTAGGGTCCAGGGTTGGGCGTGCCTCTGATGGCAGGGCCTAGAAGGCCTCTTGCAGCAACGAGTTTAGGGTCTAGGGTTTAGGGACTATGTTTAGGGTTTAGGGTTTAGGGACTAAAGGCAACCCAGGAAATAAAAGGGTAGCGGCTGTGGTAGCCTGGTTTGTTTGGCGGAGGCTTATCACCCCCCCCCCCCCCCCCCCTCCCCCCCGGACCCCCAAATAACAAGGCCCACTCCGGATTGGGTTTCTTTCCAAAAACTTGTTCAGAGGCAGCAGGCGAAAAGACTAGTCGTTCAAGTTCATTGCCCCCCCCCCCCCCCCAAAGAAAAACACGCCTTAAACCCTAGACCCTAACCCCGGAACCACTAAACTCCTAGACCCCGAAAGCCTAAGCACCAAACTTGGGTGCAGGCTTTAGGCTCTCAGGTGTAGGCTTTAGGGAGTACCGGCCCGGCCCAGTAAAGCTTCAACATTTCGTGTTTGCACGTCTTGCACACTTACGGTTGAAGGCGTAGGCGAACCCCAGACCCCAAACCCAAAATCCAGCAATTACAAGAAACCCTACACCCTAAACCCTAAACCCTAAGCCCTAACTAAACCTAAACCCTCATCCCTGAAACCTAAGCCCTTCGTGAAAACGAACCCCAGAGACGGGTTCTGACATCACAAGCCGCACCTGCTGCGAACTTGTGATGCGACAGAAAGAATCGCCAGGGCTTCCGGCGCGAACGAGCCACCTGTAGCACCTTTCTATTTAGGGTTTAGGGTTTAGGGTTTAGGGTTTAGGGTTTAGGGTTTAGGGTTTGGGGTTTAGGGTTTCGGGTTTAGGGTTTGGGTTTAGGGTTTCGGGTTTAGCACCCTTGTAAAGCTTGCAAGTGCTGTAGGGTAAGGAATTAGGACCACTCGGGCTTCAGGAGTTTAGGAGAGTCGTGAGTTCAGGGGACTTTACGGTTTGGGGTTTAGGGTTTAGGGTTAAGGGTTGAGGGTTTAGGGTCTAGGGTTTGGGGTTTGGGGTTTGGGATTTAGGGCTTAGGGTTGTGAACAAGCTTTCTTTCTCCTGAGAAGCTTAGCAACTAGTAGTGGTACCCTGCGAAACAGTCAAACCTACGCAGACAAGTACCTTACAAAGAATATGGACTTCGAACATGAAAAAAAAACATGCAGCTCTGAAAAAGGCGGCCCCTCATGTTTGAGCCTTTTGGGGTTGGGGGTTTAGGGTTTCGGGCTTAGGGTTTAAGAGTTTCGGGCTTAGAGGCAAAGATAAAGCCTACTTCTAAGGCCTCAACATTACTACTTCATGAAACCCTGAGACTCCAACTCTGCATCCTGAATGCTGGGCGCTGCAACCCAGCAAGACCTTGAGTTACTTAGGGCTTAGAGTTTATAGGGTTGACAGGGATTATAAGGCGCATCGGGTTTGCAGGATTTATAGGATTTTAGGATTTATAGGGTTGATAGGGTATATAGGGTATATAGGGGTTTATCGGGTTCATCCGGTTTATAGGGTTTCTAGGGTTTAAAGGGTTCATCGGGCTGATCGGGTTGATAGGGCTTATCGGGTTTGTATGGTTGAAAGGGTTGATAGGGTTTAGGGGTTTGGGGTACCCCTGAACCCTAAACCCGAAGCCCTAAACCCCAAAGCCCTAAACCCGAGGGGGTGGGGCGTAAGTAGCGCAGGAGAGGATCGATTCCATGGAGGATGACCAGCAAGATGCCCACTGCCATGAAGCTCAAGAACAGCATTGAGATGATGGCGGAAATGAAGGCATCCTAGGATTGCGGTTTAGGGTTTAGGGTTTAGGGTTTAGGGTTTAGGGTTTAGGGTTTAGGGTTTAGGGTTTAGGGTTTAGGGTCTAGGGTTTAGGATGTGGGGGAGGGGCCGGGGGTGGGTTGGCTTCGGCTGAAAAGCCTCTTCCCCTACATCACGCAAAGCTGGTCCACTGAACCTCTGCAAAAACACAGCCCATCAAGAAGAAAAGCTACAATCTCCAAAGCCCTAAACCCTAAACCCTCAAGCCTAAACCCTACGCCCGAAAGCCCAAGGACCCCCAAGCATGAAACCCTAAACTTACAGGGTTCTGAGGGGCGGGGGGGGGGGGGCATGTAACTCAAGGTTCCCTAACACTTCCCACGACTCCCCAAGGCTTCCTAGGCTGCCCAAAGCTAGGTTTAGGGTTTAGGGTTTCGGGTTTACGGTTTACGGTTTAGGGGTTAGGGTTTAGGGTTTAGGGTTTAGGGTTTAGGCTTAACGGTTCCCCCCCCCCCCCCGGGCCTTGAAGGGCCATATAAGAAACCCTATATGAGGGGTTACGAAAATAGCCAAAGTAAGGGACCCCTTAGATAGACCCCCAACTTCTAGGATCCCCTTGTAATAGGGACCACCCCAAACCCTAAACCCTGTACCCTAAACCCTATTTCGGACCCCCCCCCCCCATTATGGCGGTCTCAGAGTCCACCTCCTGCGCGGCAAACACAGAAGCCATGTCCATCACCACCTGCAGTTGGGGCTAAACCTGAAGAGAGTTTAGGGTTTAGGGTTTAGGGTTGCTTAACCTAAACCTGAAGAAGCCCTAAGATTGGGGTTCTTGGGGTTCTTAGGGGAATTAGGGTTATTAAGGTATTGAGTTTAGACTTTAGGGTTTGAACCCGAACCTCCAACTCCCTCAACCCGAAAAACATCGAGCCCCTAAACCATTCCATGCTGAAGACGTAGGCTTTGAGATCCGAGAGGATCAATAGCGGGAGCATAAGGTGTCTACCCCTATTCTTGATGCCCGGACCTAGGGAGCAGAGGCCGTAAGGCCTAAGGGTACTCAGAACCCTTAGCAGCGTAAGGTACCCATTGTAGGGCTTCTGCTTTCTCCTAACCCTAAACGCTAAACCCTAAACGATCCTCCAAGGCTGAGATCAGTGCCTGAAAGCTGCAGTGACGCCCAAAAAACCTGAATCCCGAGGCCCCGTTTGGTCAACAAACACAAAATCCTAGACATGTTACTTTCTTGTTTAGGGTTTAGAGTTTAGGGTTTAGGTTTCATGGTCCCTTAGTATGGGCCCTGAAAAGGGGACCCATTGCCCCACAACTACAACCCAAAGGCCCATACATCAGAAACCTTCTAAAGAGGGTACGGGACCATAATAAGGGCCCATGAAATTACCTGTAGATACTTGCAACCGAAGTTTCCCTACTCCACTAAGCCTCACAAAACCCTAGACTTTACTTGTTTAGTTTGTTTTCTTTTCTTTGTTCAATGTTTTTGGTTTGAGGGGTTAGTTCGGCAAACCAGTTCTAGGCAGTTCTCAACCCCCCAAAACTGGGGCACGCAATCCGCGCCCCGGAATACAAAATCACCCTCCCAGCAACCAAACAAAGAAATTTCGAAGGGTGAATAGAGTTATTAGGGCTTATTGGGGGTTCTTTAGGTTAGGTTAGGGCTACTAGAGTTTACAAGGTTTATGGGCTTACAATAACAATGAGGTTTATAACCATAGGCGCAATGTATTGGGTCTAATCTGGGACATTCAGGGCTATAGGAGCGGTTTTGCGGTATGATTCGGAATCCTTTGCATTGGGGACCTAGACCCTAAAGCCTGAACCCCAAGCCTAAACGCCTTAAGCGCCAAATCCCAGAAGGATACACTGCGAACAATTAAGGAGAACAGACGGGCGTAGGGTTTACGGGTCAGGGTTTAGGGTTTAGGGTTTAGGATTTAGGGTTTAGGGGTTAGGGCGTAGGGTGAAGGGTTTAGGGTTTCAGGGTTCAGTAGGGGCTTATAACTGCAAACGGGCCGCAAGCAAGCCGACGTGGAGCCACATGTCCAGTACATTGCTTGCGGGCATACGCCAAGGCTGGGCCACAGCAGTGGCTACCAGGCTCAGGTAGAGGATGATGTTCCTAAGGGGCTTCAGACGGTTTAGGGTTTAGGGTTTACAGGGTTTAGGGCTTATGGGTTTAGGGCTCATCAGAACCCTTTTCACGAGTTTGTTTAAGTATAGTCCTCAATTATGGCGTATTGGGCTCCGATTAGAGATTGAAAGCGGGTTTACATGACTGAAAGCACATCCTAAACCCTAAACCCAAAACCCTAAACCGCTAGTTCAACCATAGCCAAGACAAGAACAGCGCTCAGCCTCGCAAAGATTGGCACATGCTGCACGAACGAGGGATACAGCTTCAGACCGTCTTGGACCTTCCTTTGGGATGTTCCCCCTTATACTAAACCCTAAACCGTAAACCCTGATAGGGATTACAATAGGAGGTACCATAATCCGTAGTAAAGACTGTCAGTATAAGGGGTGAACCTCCCGAACCTTCCTGGTTCCCCGATTCGGTCCAGAGTGCATGTGCTTGGAGGTTGATGGTACTTATAACTGTACTTAGAACCCACTTGTAAGCCCTATTATAACCGTACTTATAGGGTGTAAGGTTTAGGGTTTAGGGCTTAGGGCTTAGGGTTTAGGGTTTAGGGTTTAGGGTACTTATAACCCACTTGTAAGCCCTTGAAGTGCCCCAATATGGCTATAGTTGGGTTATAAGTACAGTGATAGTTGGGTTATTAAGCACCATGAGCCTCCAAGTACAGCTTCAGGGAAGCATGTGTGGACAATCTGAGCCATGAGCAGGTGAGAGTTTGGAGTTCAGGGTTTAACAGTTCAGGGCTGAACTTGCTGAAGTATTCCTCATGAGAGCATGGGTTCGGGGTTTAGGGTTTAGGGTTTAGGGTTTAGGGTTTAGGGTTTAGGGTTTAGGGTTTAGGGTTTAGGGTTTAGGGTTTAGGTCTGCCGACCCTGGCGGCGTGTTGGATGGGAAAAGGAGGTGAAACTCCCTCTTTCCCTCCTTACCCCCCCAAAACGGGGGTCGGTGCACAATTTTTTCGCGGAGGACCGACAACCCGCACAGCGTAAACAGGCGGTTCAGCACAGGGGGGTAGGGGCGCCCGCAGCAAAATCAGCGTTTTCGGCACCCCCACCCCACCCCACCCCCCCCACCCCCCCACCCCCCCCCCCCCTCACCCCCCCCCCGCACCCCCCACAAACCCCCCCCCCACCCCCCCCAACCCCCCCACCCCCCCCCCCCCCCCCCACCCCCCCCCCCACCGCCCCTACCCCCCCGCCCCCTCTTTTTGGCTTGCCCCCCAACCCCCCCCAAACGTTTCACAGAACTCTGCCGAGCAGGCTGCGATGATCTTCGAACCATGCGAGCGGGTTTGACCTCTCAACTATGCTCCAGCGGGGTCGGCGGCTTGAGCCGGAGGCTCTTAAATTTAGGGTTTAGGGGCGAAGACCCTGAAAGCTCTAAGCCCTCAAAGCACTCGGTGGCTCATGGATACTGGCTCATAGATACGATGTAAACCAACCATGGCAACACTGTACTTCGTGTTCAGTTTAGGGTTTAGGGTTTAGGGTTTAGGGTTTAGGGTTTAGGGTTTAGGGTTTAGGGTTTAGGGTTTAGGGTTTAGGGTTTAGGGTTTAGGGTTTAGGGTTTAGGGTTTAGGGTTTAGGGTTTAGGTTGCGGGGCCTTTGGGATGAGCACAACTGTACTTATATGTCAGGGTTGAGGGTTTAGGTTTAGGGAGACTTGTGGTGCTGTGTTGAGGTGATAGCAGCAAGCACGACTGAGCAAGGGAGGGCCCAAGTATCACTATTTAGGTGCACAGAACCTTAGGGTTAGGGCGTAGTGTTTAGGGTTAGGGAGTAGGTTGTTGGGATCACGGCCAAGGAGCATCGTGACCAGCTGCACGGCATCAGCATGGATCAGCGGGCAAAGCACAATGCACACATTTCCTGGGCCCGGAACATGAACGTTCAGGGCTGACTGGAAAGTGAAAATTTGAAAGCCCTAAACCCTCTTTGTGCTACAATACAACCCAGAAGCCAACAACATTTAAACGCCCAGACGGGGGGTTGTGGCTAATTTTTCTGACTGGTCTCAGAAGGGAATCAAAACAGGTCCTGGGTACATAGGGTTCCCGGAGAGCCTACAAGCTATGTACAACGTGCCAGATTGCAGGTTCTAAACCCTAAACCCTAAACCCTAAACCCTAAACCCTAAACCCTAAACCCTAAACCCTAAACCCTAAACCCTATAAGCCTTGACATGCCGAAGGGGCGGATCAGGCCAAAAATGGCGAAGGTCTCCTTGGCTTGCGCTGCTCCAATAGTTTAGGGGTGAGGGTTTAGGGGTTTAGGGGTTTAGGGTCTTTGGGGCTGGGTTAGGTTTCGGGATTTTGGCATGGGAAAGTGCAGAGTTTGGGAACTTTGGGCCATTCCGGGAAGAACCCCAAAACCCTAAAGCCCAAAACCCTAAACCCCTTTTCGGGGGGGGGGGGGGGGGGGGGCTGCACCCTGAAACCTACACCCCAAACCCTAAACCCTACACCCGAACCCGAAAACCCTGCACCCTAAACCCTAAACCCTGACCCCTAACCCCTGAACCCTAGAGGGCTTTGAGGAGCGGGGAATGACAAACCTTGAAAGTCTATAAACCCAAAACCCTAAACCCTAAACCCTAAACCGTCAACCCTAGTAGACCTAACAGCCTTAAAGCCTCAAAGCCATGACAAGGATTGGGCCGAGCGGCTGCACCGGGACGAAAACGTCGCCACAGGAAAGAGCCTTGAAGAAGCAGGATCTTAGGGTTTGTGGATATTTTGGGATTTAGGGTTTAGGGCTTGGGCTTTAGGGCTTCTTGGGGTCTGGAGCTTCGGGTCGTAGGGCTTTGGGATTTCGAGGTTTTGGGTCCAGGGTATGAATAGGTTCCATGAATGAATCCTTGGCCTAAGCTCTAAGTTCTCAATCTCAAAACCCAACCCCCTGGACCATGACCATCAGAATTGAGAACAATTGCAGCCATCAAAAACTACACGACACCTTTCCGGAAACCCTAAACCCTATATAGCGGGTTGTGAGGAGCACCCGGGCCAGCCTCAAGCGGCGACGCCGGGCCTCCTGTGTCCGATCCGCGGCGAACAGCAAGGCTCTACAAAGCAATGGCCGCATCGCGCAACCACCCTTATTGGCGTTTGCCGGGAGGCCCCGGTGGACATCTAGCTGACATTCGACATGGGTGGAGCCACAAATGGCCCCTAACTCACGGTACTGCCACGTGTTCGGCAGCAACAAACATTGGGCCGCGTTGGGCGAAAACCAGAAAATACACCTGTCACACCGCTCAAAAACGGCATGCCCGTTCACTACAGTGCTAAGCCGCATCGCGCAGCCTCGCTCATCGGACCAGGCAGGACGAAGCTGGACAGTGTAGCCATTGGCATCAAGACCTCATGCTTTTTTTCCGGAAATCTGGCCGACAAATTCTCGATTGGGTATGTTGTGTGCGCTGTAAAGGCCGTCGTGGCTGCAGACATGCGCAGGTTGCTTCCGGCAAATGTCACGCGTCATAGTCCCGGCCCTGCAGGTCCTGACAGTTGCCCCTTCGGGAAGTGCAAGTAGCTGACCGGCAGCAAAATGCCGCCATGAAAGCCGTGCCGTCGCCGCGTCACCAACAACCGAGGGAACATGCTTGCCTCCAAGGCTGGAGCAATTGCTGTTTTGAAAGCCGTAGCAGTTGACATCTGGAGAAGAGCAGAGCGCCGACCCACTGCAAGGACATGGTCTTGAATCAGCTGCCAGGTTGGGGCCCGCAAGTGAGTAAGCCACAGCAAAATCATGGTTCGGAAACTGTAGGTGCAGCTGTGGCAGCATAGGGCTGGCCCGCATCAAAACCACTCCACACACCGCGTGTAGCCAGTATAGCCGTCCTCGTACTCGAAGTCGTAGCAACTGCCACGTCGCGGAACGCAGAAAGCCTTGAAACTGTAGCACCAACCACCCCAAAGGCCGCAGCTGAACCAAGCATGCGGTAGATTCTGAATGGCATAAGCAGGACCTTAACGAGTAAAGAGAAATCAGCGGCAGTCGAATCATGGCCCGATTTGCAAAGGAGGTGGTTCTACCTCCCCCAACGACCTCGCCACGTGTAGGCTCGGGCCGAGAGGCTCCTAAACCCTAAACCCTAAACCCTAAACCCTAAACTTCAAGCTTTCAACTCCCAGGGGCAAGTCTGGACAAACTGCGCATCCGCCTGCACGAGGCGCTTCGGAAGCTCAAACCACGTGGCCTCAGAAATCCACCAAAAAGGGTTTAGGGTTTAGGGTTTAGGGTTTAGAGTTTAGGGTTTAGGGTTTAGGGTTTAACCCTAAACCCGAGATGTTTCAGGTGTCATTGCTCAAGTTTTTGGGGCTCTTCAGGTGGACGGTCTCGGGCTATCGCGGTACTTATCACGGGACTTAGTAAGTGGGGTTACAAGTAAGGCAACTATACTTTTACTTACTTATAAGCCCAATTAAGGGACTTATACCCCGACTTATTGGGTGCCTTTTTTGGGGCTTGGGGGTTAAAGGTTTCGGATTGGGTCTGCTTGGATGGACTCTGGGGTTTTGCCAGCATCTTATAGCTCGTTTTTTTGCCCTGTATGGTACGGTGTAGGGTTTAGGGTTTCGGGTGGGAACCTAGCAGAAACCCTTCGAGGTGAGGTTGAGACGGGTTCGGCGCATGGAACCTGGAACCCTCAACCCCGAAACACCGCCCCTCAACCCCCAATCTCAGCAAACTGTAAACCCTAAACCCTAAACCCTAAACCCTAAACCCTAAACGAACTCCTTGCAAGCACGACTTGGTTCAGGGTTAGGGGCTTAGGGGTTCTGGAGCTCCTGTACAGTTTAAGGGCTTCAGCGAACTTTCGAAACAAACCCAAACCCTAAACCCTAAACCCTAAACCCTGATCACAGCTACCTGATCTGGCTCAGGAGTGCCAGAGTGGCTCTGCTAGTCACATCTCGTCCCCGTCATCTTCGCAGGGTCACATCGGGATTAGGGCCAAAAAAACTTAAAAAGTCGATTCCAAAATCAACAGGGGGCCTTCGCAAACCCGTACCCATGAGCCGACGCCAACGGCATCGTTTGTAGGGTGGCAGGGGGGGGGGGGGGGGGGGGCACCCTAAACCCTAAACCCTAAACCCTTAAACCTAAGCCCTAAACCCTAAACCCTAAACCCTAAACCCTAAACCCCAACACCGCCATAACATTCCGGGTCGCCCGGATGCAGAGGGCCAGGAAGAAGATGGGCATCAGCGATGCAACGAAGCCGATCATGCACATGTGTAGATGCTCGTCCTCTTCATTTCTACAGGCTTAGGGTTTAGGGCTTAGGGTTTAGGGTTTAGGGTTTAGGGCTGGGGTTCTGGGGATGTAGGGGGTAGAGAGAGAGGAAAGCAAAGGCCGAAACTGAGTAAGACAGATCACAATAAAAGTGGGTTCTTGCCGGTTATGGGGTTGGGGGATGATGCCAGTGGCCTCGTGAATCGCTGAGATGGCTCCATGTAACCCTATAAACCCTAAACCCTAAACCCAAGGCCCGGGCGCCCGGGTACTGCGGGGGGCTGGCGCATAAGCCTCTCGACCTCGATGGCGCAAGCCGACCCAGGTCGTTCGCCCGCCTCCCACAGCTAAACACGCGTTCTCCTCGCTACCAGTGCGCTGGGGCTGCTACTCCGGAGATAGGGCGCTAGCAGTGCGCTGGAGCATCAGGTTTGTGGGGATGTTTTGCCAGGGGGCCTCTAGCCAGATGGCGGGTACTAAAAACATCCTTTTTGCTACCTCATGCTGTCTGGGACCCCTGTCGCCCCCTGAAACCCCTGGGACCCCCCTACAACCGCCTGACACGAGACCCCTTGGAACGAAAGAGGTTTTTGGAAGTCTAAACCCGAAAAGAACAGGTTTGGGTGGGTTTGCCGCCTGAGGGGTAAAAGTGCTAGATGGCCCTCCACTGTCGGGCCATGGCGGCTCTTGGCATGTCACGAAGCTTTCGAAGCGAGTCTACATCCCAACCTTCACAGCTTCTACGCCATTTCACAGCAAACCTTCAACCCTAAACCATAAAATATGGAAGCACCTATCATGGCGACAGGCTACGTAACCCCCTCCTAAGCAAGCTTGTAGCCAATTGTAACCGCAAGTTTCCCCCTTCAAACCCCGGTTTTCAGTGTTTTCACAACCCATAGCTAAGAGCCAAGTACTACTTGAGCAAGCCTGAACAAGTACACTGTAGTTCTTTCAGAGAAATGTCCTTGCTATCACTAGGCATGCAGGGGGCTTAAGTATGATCAGAAGTACTGTTACTTACAAGTCCAAAACTACCCGATGGTTGGAAGTTAAACCCTAAACTCCAAACCCTAAACCCGGCTCTGAGTAATGAGCCGTGGACCAGTCAAGACGAATTCTTAAGCTCTGTGCAAATTCTGCGCAGAAGCTGCCGTCCTTCCCATCGCAGAAGACCGAGCCATAATCTTGCAACGTCAAGCCTTCGCTGTCTTTGCAGGTTTGGACCCTGACAGAAATCCTAAACTCTGGCCGGAGAGAACTGGCAATTAGATTCCCAACAAATCCTGCCCTAAAACCTCAAACCCTAAATCCTGAACCCTAAACCACTATTTGCTTAAGAACCCCAAAAGAATAAGACAATAGTTATCCCTATATTGCCCTTAATAAGAAAGAATATTTAAATGTCTTGATAGAAAAGGGTGTAAGATGGACCATTTGCCCAGCTAGCTAGCTGTTGGTCCCATTTTGGTACTGCCACTACTGCAATACGGATCCGACTACTAAGGGTTTAGGGTTTAGGCTTTTGGGTTTGAGGTTTAGGGTTTAGGGCTTAGGTTTATCCGAATACTAAGGGTTTAGTGCTTAGGGTACTCGGAGGTCTACGGCACTTACTAACCACATAGTAATTGCACTTATAACCGAATTATAACCACAATTATCACCACATTAGGGAAATAAGGGGCCTTATAATATATTATTAAGTGCCACGACCCTCCAAGTAGCCATGATTTGGATTATGGAGTCTCGGCAAAAGCAGCAGAAGCTAAGGATGTTGCTAGCCCATGAACCCCCTCGGATTGAGCCCCTAAACCCTAAACCCTAAACCCTAAACCCTAAACCCTACACCCTAAACCCTGGATGTGCACCTTCCTGCACGGAGAACGGCTGAGGGTTTGACGCTGGGATAATTCGTGGGCTGATTTGGCTGACCTTCCGCCCTTCCCCTTTAGGAGTTGTACCTTGGGCCCTTAAGGTTGTCCCTTGGTTTAGGGTTTAGGGTTTAGGGTTTAGGGTTTAGGGTTTAGGGCCCTTTTTAAAGATCCTTCAGGTAGTATAAGGGCCACATTGGGAGTACTGTGTATTAAAAGAAGGGGGGGGACCTTAATTAGGGTACAACCTTAGGGCTCCAAGGGCTTCCTTTCTGTCGCCCGCTGCTTTCCTGAAACCCCCACAATCTCTAAAATGCTGTATGGGATGGGTAGGGGGGGACCCTAAACCCTAAACCCTAAACCCTAAACCCTAAACCCTAAACCCTAAACCCTAAACCCTAAACCCTAAACCCTAAACCCTAAACCAAGCAACGCCCATTCGGATGGCGACTGCACTGGAAGGGGGCCAGGATGGCCGAGAAGGCGCTGATGAAAAATATCAAGAACCTGGGCAAAGGGTTTAGGGTTTAGGGTTTAGGGTTTAGGGTGTAGGGTTTAAGGTTTAGGGTTTGCAGGGTCTTTCGGGTCAACCCTTAAACCCTTAAACCCTGAACCCTAAACCCTGAACCTTGAACCCTAAACCCTAAATCCCTACACCCCACAATTGTTATAGGGATTCTGGGCCTAGCTTGCCGGCCGATGGCAGGGCACAAGGAGATGCACGTGCCGGGCCGAAACCCTGACCCAAGTAACCCCGAAAGCCTAAACCCTGAAGGGTGGCACTGGTTTAGGGTTTAGGGTTTAGGGTTTGGGGTTTGGGGTTTGGGGTTTAGGATGAGGGGGGTCGCAACGATGAGGGCTCATTGCATCGCTAGGGCTTGAGGTTGCGGGTGCGGCCTTCTGGGAGTTGTTGATTCAGAGCTTCATCCCCCACTTTGGAGTAGACCCTAGAAAAGAGATAGGTATAAGTAGCTACACGGAGGGGCCCCCCTTACTATACTAACTGTAGTTAAGGGACGTATAACCGAATTTAGGATCCTTATAACCCAATTTAGGGCTCTTATAGCTCTACTTATAACTAGGGGACCCCTCCTTGTAGAAAAAAGATAGGTATAATTAAGCTTGGCTGTGCTTAGGAGGGTAGCTATAAATCATATTTTTAGCTGCCTTATTAAGAAACCCCAATAAACCCAAAAAGGCTAAAGATCTAAAGTTATCGTAAAGTACCACAAAGTAAGTAGCTAGAAGGGGAAGCCAGAACCCAAAGCAGTATTCATGTATAGTACTCCAAAACCCAGCATCTAGCTTCTATACTCCTCTTAGAACCTTAACAAAAACAATATGTTTAATATCCTCTTGGGTTTTATACAAACAAAAATTGAAAAAAATCCCAGGGGGGATATAGGCTTTGGGCTTCAGGGGACAGCAACCGGAGCAGAGCAACAAAGAGCCGATGGTCCGGAAGAGCTGGCTGCAATCAAGGCTGACGCTAAGGCTGCACCTCAATTCAGGACAAGGCAACATCACACCCTGAGCCCTATACCCTAAACCCTAAACCCTAAATGCCCCACGGCGCAAGCAGGTTTAGGGTTCTAAGGGCTCAGGGTTTAATCAGGGCTTAAGGGGCCTCAAGAGGGCGGCAAGAGGGTTTAGGGTTTAGGGTGTTTAGGGTTT